TTGGGCCTCAGTGCAGGCAGCGCGCCAGGTCGCGTCTAGCGTGCGCAAGTGGGCGGCCAGGCCAGCGACAGTGGCGAAAGACGCGAGATCAAGAAAGAGCATGGGCAGGATGAGGCGACTGACGAAGGCAGAGGGTGGGGTGGAATAGCGCGCGACAACAGCCTCTAGGAAGTCCAGCGCAGTCCTGACCGACCTAAAGCAGGGGCGCTCAGACATGGGGAGGGCATGACTAATCGCGAGCTGTGCGATAGCGTCACGCAACAACCAGACAGCACGGGCAAGGGCAGCAGCGGCAGCGGACTCACGTTCAGCAGACGTGGGGTCAGCGGGTAGAGCAGCACAGGGGTTGGGGCTGGGGAGCGTACTGTCAATGTGGACTGTCAGGGAGTGGCCGTCATGCCGCTGACCGGTGAGGTGACGGTAGAGATCGACGAGCCACGTGTCGAACTCAACCGGCTGCCCCTCCACGTCAAAGCGCAGCACCGAGTCCGCCATCATGGTCGCTGTAGCAACAAAAGGGCGGTAGTGGGCTTTACGGAGCGACAGAGCGTGGCGGGAAGCTGTGGTGTGCAGTGCAGTGCGGTGCAGTGAGGTGCAGGGTGGTGGAAAGGGCCAATGAAGCTAGGTGGGAGCCGAGGGGGCAGCTGAGGGACGGGGCTGCGAGGAGGCTGGGCGGCGAGGGCGCGAGGCGGCTGGTCAACAGGGGCCATGAGGCGGTTGGAAGATGGGGCCGCGTGGCGGCTAGGAGACGGGGCCGCGGGCGGCGAGGCGACAGGGCCAGCTGGGCGACGCAGCCTGCTGGGCGACGGGGCCGGCTGAGCGATAGGGCCGGCAGGGCGACGGGGCTGGCACGGCGACGGGGCCGGCTGGGCAATGGGGCCGACTGGGCGACGGGGCCGACTGGGCGACGGGGCCGGCTAGGCGACGGGGCCGGATAGGCGATGGGGCCGGCTAGGTGACGGGGCCGGCTGGGCTACGGGGCCGGCTGGGTGACGGGGCCGGCTAGGCGACGGGGCCGGCTGGGCTACGGGGCCGGCTAGGCGACAGGGCCGGCGAGGCAACGGGGCCGGTTGGGCGACGGGGCCGGCTAGGCGACGGGGCCGGCTAGGCTACGGGGCCGGCTAGGCGGCGGGGGCGGCTAGGCAACGGGGGCGGCTAGGCGACGGGGCCGGCTAGGCGACGAGGCTGGCTGGGCTACGGGGCCGGCTAAGCGGTGGGGCCGGCTAGGCGACGGGGCCAGCTAGGCGACGGGGCCGGCGAGGCGACGGGGCCGGCGAGGCGACGGGGCCGGATAGGCGACGGGGCCGGCTGGGAGACGGGGCCAGCTAGGCGCTAGGTGACAGGGGCCACTAGGGGACGGGCCAACACGGGCGGGAGGGCGACGGAGCGGCTAGGACCTATGGCGGAAGCGCTGGTGGGCGGGGGGGGCCTAACCTACTCATGATACCATATCAAAGTTAACAAATAACTAGAATCATGGCATACAAGGGAATATAACCTAATGGGTTGTACTCTCTAAGGCACAACCCTGTGTAGTCTATAACAACGTACAAGGATATGTTTGACAGATTCACCCCACTTTCTTTTCCAGAACCATGATTCATTATTGTGCTCCCTTTCCTAACCAAAGATGGGACTGCATTGTGTATGCGCGTAGTTCTCCCAAGTTCCTTCCATCCCCAGAGTTTCTTGCAGCACACCAGTGGAGCTTTCGTGCTGCTCCATTTCCTAAGTTCTGCTCAAATCGATCAGCATGATCAGCGCACAAACTACCCCTACTGCTGACATCGAGAATAGTTTCGGAGATTTCTATGGCCCGAGAAAACATCCTCCCTCTCGCATTGCGAACACACCATCGCCACCTAGGTGTTGTCCGATCTACTGAGTCTCGGCCAGAGATGGAAGCAACACTCTGGCAGGCCCATTGCCCCTCCACTGCTCTGCTTGTTGGTAGCAGATCTACACTTCTCTCCATCTTCTCCTCGGTCAGCCACTTACTTTCAGCAGTTTCCCTTCATCCTCAACAGCCAATCGATCGTATTCTTGCAAGTCCCACACGCCATGGATTCCCTGCCTGCAAAGCTCGTTTATTTCATCCATAAGCTTGTAGATCCGACCGGACCGCACATCGCACGGCTAGTGTGTGTCTCAAAGAAATATCGAGGCATGGCGGACGAAAGGCTGTGGTTGGGGCACTGCCGCGACCAGCTCGCTAAAAAGCTTGAGATCCTTGGGCGTGCAGCGACCGGCGCAGTTACTATTGAGATCTTTCAGCGCATGCTGAACTTGATGGACAGCGATGATCTTAAAGCGGTGGGGAAGCTCTTGAATTGGTGCCCCGACGTAAGGCAAGCAGTGATGAAAGGGAGGGAGATCCGACCCTGGATTGGCAGGAATAGCGGCAACGCTGCTGCTTGGCGTGCCGTTCCTGACGAGGAGGAACACGCTCGAGGCAGACCGCACCTGCACTCTTCTGACTTCGTCCCATACCCGAACGCACGTTCCCGCGCCATCTTCTCTTTGCCTTGCATGCGTCACGTGAAGGGAGTGCTCGATGACGTGGAGATCAGCTTGGCGCAAGGATTCGTGTTTGAATTCAAGAGCTCAAAGTACGCTCTTCGTATTTTCGCTTCGTGGCTGTCTGGAATAGCCTTTGGTGCTCGATCCAGATTCTTTCCGTTCAAAACCCAAGCCAATCCCGCTTTGTCCGCACCACTCTGATCTTGTTAACGTCCCATGGTCCGCGTTGCATGGTTATTTCCCACTTGGCCTCTCATACAGGTTTTATGTTGTGCTTTCTGGCCACGCCTTTGTAGAAGATGAAAAGTGCCCCTTCTGCGATCCCCAGGTGACTTCAGAGCCTTTCTTAGCGTGAAACCAGCACTTTAAAGTGCTGTGGTGCGGAGCGAGAGAGGAAAGTTCACTGGAAAAAATTATGACATTTTTAATGCCTTTTCCTTCTAAGCAATCATGCTGACTGAATCTTGCATTTGGCAGGTTTGGAACGCCTATGAAAAGGAAGACATTCCTCCAGGGTCCGACATCTTCTATTGCGATGTCAACACCAGGACCGTTTCCATGCTTCCTATGCTTGTTCAGTACAACTGCACCAAGGTGCGTGCAACTGCAGTCATGCCCACCTCCCACTCTCCCTCGCAACCTCTCTTCGGTTCCTCCTTCATTCCCCTCCTTTCTCTCTCCCTGTCGCTCTGACTCTCCCCCCCCACCCGCCACGCACACTCATCAGTTTGTTGCGCAGTCAGTAGCTTCTTGTATTGCGTTGGGGTTTATACAACTTCGTTTGTTTTGCTGCTGTGATTGTCACTGTAGGGGCATTTCTACGGAGTACTGAGGAATACTAGCGCCAACGTGTTGACCGAGATGAATGGAGCAGTAGTAGAGCTGTTAGTGGAGGGGGAAGAGAGGGAGATACTGGCACAGAAACAGGTGGAGCGTATTGTTGCCGATGCTGGCTTGCGCACGGAACCCAATGTCACATACATCGCCATCCGGGTAATTCCTTACACCAATTTGCTGCCAGCTTTGCCTGATTCTTGAAGCTCATGGGTATCGTGGTTTGTTTCTACATGGTGCCCATTCAAATATGCAATCTGCTTCTTGTTTGGAGTGCATGTTATGAGAGAGATGCTTTATGGGAGGCCTTATCTGCTTCTTGCAGTTAAGCTTGATACTTGCTCTTATTATTACATGGTTATGTTATAGCGTCAGTGATGTTGTTTGGTTTGGACACCACGTTGGCTCAAGTTGGGTCATTTACTCTCTCCATAAGAGCCATTCTCCTTCATTCCGAATTGTGCATTTTGCTTCCCCTTCTTACTTCCGTATGCTTACCTGCAAATGGCTCTTTGACCCAACTTTCTTACCATTTGCCTCTTCGTCCCACTTGCCGTATTCCACCCCTTATGAATCGTATTTTGGACTCTCAGACCCATCGTGGTCCACCAGCTTCAGGAAATGCTGCTCCTATTGCTACGGCCACTCGTCCTGCTGCTGGTGCTGGTACTCGTGCTACTGAAGCGCAGCGAGGCAAGAACTTATGTGAGTCTAGAATGGGATGTTGGGATGGTGATGGTGATAATGATGGTGGTGGTTTGTGAAATTGTGGCATCGGATTGGGATTGCTCGTGTGTACTGTGCATGGTGGAACCAACCATCTTACTCCCTTCCAGTTCTCTCGAGTGTTTACGTTTGCCTGTAGAAAGTACAGAGATTCTCTATGCAGCCATCCCCTTCGGTTCCACCCGATTTACCATTTCCCCTTATCCCGCCTTCCCTTTCTCTACGGTGTCCCTGCTTGTTGTACCTCCCTGTGTCCAGCCAAGGGCAAGAATGCTGCTGCTCTGAGCGCCACTACTGTTGACACACCATCATCGTCAACATCCCTCAAGACAATCGCATCACCTGGATCGTCTACCACTTCTGCTGCTGATGATGATGTTGGTGCTGCTGCCACATGTGCTGAGGTGCCTGCTACGACTGCCACATCTGCTGAGATGCTTGCTGCCAGTGTTGCATCTGTTGAGATTGATGGGTGTAATGCAGCAGGAAAGCAGTCAGGGTCAGGACGTGTGTGAGGTCTTTTTGTGGCTGATGGGGCTGATTGAGATTTGCCTGGTAGCTGTGGAGTGTGCCGATACTGATTTCATCGCGTACGTTTGACATCCTGGGTCTCATGGGTCTCATTGGCCCTGCTGTATATATGACAGCTTTTCATAAGTTGCTTCTTGACTCCAAATCATTTCTGTTAAATTTTAAACATACTGCTTTACGAGCTTCTGATGTACCAATTACATGCACTGGCACATTGCAGGTTCCGCTGCATGGGAGCAGCTTCTCCCGGAGCACCAGATTCGCAACCCTGGAATTCCCGATGTTACCCCGCGTCGCTAATGCTCGTACACCAGCTGGTTCGCCTAAACCACGTTCTGTATGGTTCTCGGAACTGCCCTTTGCAAGACCTGCCTTGCCAAGTTCCCATTCCTAGATTGATTCCCATCCCCTGGTGGTGGTCCTGAAGCACTTCAGACCATTCCCGCGTCGAAGGTTTCCATGGCCAAAGAAATCGTCCTTCCCCTCCCATTGCGGCGACGCCGTCGCCACCTTGGTGTTGTCCGAGCTGCGGAGTCTCGGCCAGCGGCGATGGAAACACCGCTCTGCCTGAATCCCTGCCAGGCACAGTGTTCCTCCACTGCTGCGGTCGTCGGTCGCAGATCCGCAAGGTCTCCCTTCATTCTTACCTCGGCCTACCCTACCCTCATTTTCCACCTACCGTCAGCCGTTTCCCTCCATCCTCGGTAGCTTATCGCTAGACTCGTCGCTTAGTGACCCACGCACCATGGATTCCCTTCCTGCAGAGGTCGTTTATCTCATCCTTAAGCTTTCTCACCAGGCAGGCCCACAGATTGCCCGGTTGGCCTGTCTATCGAACGACTTCAGACGCATGGCGGACCAATGGCTGTGGCTGTGGCACTGCCGCGACCAGCTTGCGAAGAATCTCGAGATCCCTGAGGGTGCAGCAGCCGTCGGATTCAATATTGAACGATTTCAGCGCGTGCTGGACGCCATGAAGAGCGACGATCTCAAGGCGCTTGGGAAGCTCCTGCATTGGTGCCCGGGCGTGAGGCGAGCGGTGATGAGAGGAAGGGAATCCAGACCCTGGCGACATGTCGACAGCAATGGGGACAGCAACGGCAGCAGCAGCAGCTGCAGCGACGTCACGGAAGATGCTACTTGGTGTGCCGTTCCTGACGAGGAGGAACACGCTCGCGGCAGACCGCACCTGCAATCTCCTAGCTTCGTCTTATTGCCGAACATAAGCCGCATTATGCTATCTTTAACTTGTCGGCGGCACGTGGAGGGAATGGTTGATGACGTGGAATTCAGCTTGGCACAAGGATTCGTGTTTCATTTCAAGAGCTCAGTGTAAGCTCTTGTTTTCCCGAATTTCGCTTCATCGCTGTCTGGAAAGAGCCTTTTGTGTTCATCCCAGCTTCTTTCCGTTCAGGAACTAAGCCAATCTCCTCTTTCCACAACACTCTGGTTTCGTTCACGTCCCATATTCTGTGTTACTAAGGTTACTTCCGTAATGTCCTTTCGCACAGGTTATACCGCAGGGTTTCTCCACGGTCTGTTTAACAGGACGAGCTCTGTCCCTTTTGCATCCTTTCATCTCTTCATATCACTTAATGAAACAGTGGAACACGAGAGGCGCCTTCACTGGAAGATCTCTTGTCACTGTCGTTTCTTTTCCCCGAGCAACTGTTCTGACTGAATCATGGATTGGGCAGGTTTGGGACACCTTTGAAGATGATGCCTCGCTTCCATGGAACAACATCTTTTACTGTGATGCCAGCGCCAGGACCATTTCCAAGCTTCCTAAGGTTGTTCAGTCTTATTGCACCAAGGTGCGTGCAGGCTGCAGTCCACTCACCTCCCCTCCCTCCCTCCTCCTCTCTCTTTACTGTTCGCACTGTAGCTTTTTATGTTGCATTGTTGTTGAATTGACCTCGTTTCTTTGTGGTAATGGTCCAGCCTACAGGGGCATTGTTATGGAATTGTGAGGAATTACTGTGGCGGGCTTCCGTCTGAGTGGGAAGCTGCGAACGGGCCAGCGGTAGATCTGTTGCTGGAGGGGGGACGCACGGAGAGACCTTCCCCAGTTTTGCTGCCAGCCATGCTCTCGTCAAGCTTCATAGCGTGGTGGTGCCATGCTCATTTGTCGTGAGCTGAGAGCTTTAAGTGTTGAATGGGTGTTGGAGATTGCGCGCTTCTGTGATGGTGCCAGTGCTGCTAAGAATGCCATGTTCGAGGAACCTTGCTGAGTCACTTCCGTTCTTCTTTTCTGTGCGTCCATCTCCTGATCGCTCTCATACACACTTCCCTTGCCAAATTCCAAACACGTCTTTCCTTTCAGCTGGAGACCCATCGCGACAGAGCACGTATTGAAGCACCACCAGCTGCAGAGAGCGCTGCTCCTGCTGCCGCTGGTGTTACTCTCGCTATTGCGGAAGTTCCTGCTGCCGCTGGTGCTACTTGCGCTATTGCGGAGGTTGCTACTACTGCTAGTGCTTCTGCTGCTACCTTTGAGGTTGCTACGACTGCTAGTGCTACTGCTGCTACCTTTGAGGTTGCTACGACCGCTGGTTCTACTGTATCTACTACGGAGGTGGCTACCACTGCTGGTCTTGCTGTTGCTACTTCTACTGCCGCGACCGGTCCTAATGCTACCGGTGCTGCCCATACTGCTGCCCCCGGTGCTGCCCGTTCAACCTCCAGCAGTGCTGCCCATACTGCTGCCTCCGGTGCTGCCCGTTCAACCGCCAGCATTTCTGCCTGTACTGCTCCTACCGGTGCTGCCCGTACAACTGCTACAGATTCTACCCGTGCTGCTACCGCTGGTCCTCGTGCTGCAGCCGTTAGAGCTGCCACTCGTACGACAAGGCCTGCTGCTGCGACTGGCGTTACAACTGCTGTTACCACTCGCGTTCCAGCAGCTGGTGCTACCTGTGCTACAGCTATGACTGGTTCCCACACTTTGCCTGGCGCTGCCACTCGTGCTACAGCTGGGACTGGTCCTCACACCAGGGCTCGTGCGGCCACTCGCGCTTTAGCTGTGACTGGCTCTTACACCAGGACTCCTGCCGCCACTCGTGCTACGGGCACTGGCCGGGCTCGCCCATTCTCAGCTGCTGGCTCCCGCGCCAACACGGCTGCCTCTACTGCTGAACGCTCCTCCCTGGGCATGCAGAGAGGCAAGAACTCTTGTGAGTTTGTAATGGGTTGTTTGGGATGGTTATTGGTGATAGGTGATAGGTCATGGTGCTGATGATGGTAGGTGACACTGGTACGGGATTGCTCGTGCATGCTCCGTATGGCATAGGAAGGAATGAGAAATGTGAGTAGGTAATTGCAACAGACGCACTTAGGATTGCTTTGCGCTCATAGTCAGGCTTGTGTGAAGACTATGTCCAACTCGCCCCACTATCCCTGAACCCAATTTGGCCCCCTTTTCATTCTCTCTGATGTCCCTGTTTTCCGAACCCCCCCAACCCCCCCTCCTCCTCCTCTCCCTTTCTCTTCAAGGACGAGAGTGCTGCTGTTCTCAGCACCATTGGAAACGCAGCAGCAGCATCGTCACTCTTGGCAGTCGCAGCATCTGCACCGTCCACCTCTGTGCTGCTGCTGCTGCTGCCACTGTGCTGTGATGACTGCTCATGCTGCCACCTGTGCTGAGAGGGATGCAGGTGAAGGGGCACTCTGAGACATGACCATTGACCCGTGTCATGGTCTGAGCGTACAATGGCATCATTGCATGTGATGGCACTATTGCGGCTGATAAAGCTTCCTGTCTGTTCAAGAATTGTTGATGCGGAGCATGCTGGGCCGAGGCTACGATCACTTTCCATCCAAGTTGGCCTGCCATTGGTGGTTGCTTTCCTTTTGTCCTGTTATGTGTAACATCATTGTCCTGCCATTGGTGGTTGCTTTCCTTTTGTCTGTTGTCGTCATTGCCCCAGCAAACCAAAGTATTGTCAACTTATGTATAATTGCGAAAGTTGCTTAGTCCATCTTGCGAAGGCAGCGTGCTTCATTTCAGATGGGTAGTTGTGCGTTATACGTGTTCGCGAAGAGATCAATAGAGAGGGGGCTATCAGAAATTGAAAAATGAATGTTAGAGAGAGGGTACACACAGATATACCTAAGTGTTGTACCCTCTAAGAGGCTACCCTATACAGTCTATACAAACATGACAAATACACATGTTTGACACACCCCCTAGACTGCATAGGGGAATGTCCTAAACAAGCAGCTCAGGGCGGCACTACTAGTCCAACCTCTGAGACAAGGGTCTGAGAGACCAGTCAGAAGGAGTACAGACAAGGCAAGAACAAGAGCAGGGCGGCACTACTAGTCCAGCCACTGGGAGAGGACACAAGTCCAGTCTGAGTATGCATATAAAGGACAGTACAAAGTCAAGGTCCTAGCAAGTGAGAGGCTACAGGAACTAGACCAAGCTGTACACAGTGCCGCTGATGATCTTTAGGCGCAAGCGCCTTCGTAAAGATATCAGCCGTGTTGGCACCTGAGGCCAAGTGTACTACGCGAGCCTGACGTCGCTGCTGTAGCTCACGCAGGAGGAAGTACCGCAGCTGAATGTGCTTCGCTCTGCCCTCGAGTTGAGGCTCCTGACACAGGAGGATCATGGCCCTGTTGTCAGCGAACAGGACCGGGGCAGAGCTAGGCCGCTCACCTAAGTCAGTGAGCAAGAAGGTCAGCCAGCGGAGCTCCTGTGCCGCCATGGCACCAGCGTAGATCTCAGCCTCACAGCTGGACTGCGCCACAGACGAGGAGCGAGTAGCTCTCCACGAGACGGCACCTGAGCCAAGGCTGAAGCAGTAGCCCTGGGTAGACCTGAGTGTCTCAGCATCGTCTGCCCACGAAGCGTCTGTGTGTCCAGTAAGAACCACTGGCCGGCGTCCTCCTAGCACTAACCCCATGCCCGATGTACTAGCAAGATAACGCAGAACCCTCTTAGCGGCAGACCAGTGCTGCGGTCGGTGTCTGCCTGTGGCCACAAAACGAGCCAGGATGCTGAGAGGGTATGCGAGATCTGGGCGAGTGCAAGTCATCAGGTACATGAGGCAACCCACCAGCTCTGCGTAGGGGCCGCTGGGCTCTACCAACTCCTCAGACACTGGAGCGGAGAGCCTGTGGTCTACAGGCAGAGGGGTGGGCTGTGCAGAGGAGAACTGAAGGCTGAACCTCTGAAGGACCTGGCGCACCAAGTGTGACTGAGTCAGGGTGATGGTGCGCGCAGCTCTGTCCCTGGAGATCTGCAAGCCAAGGTAACGGCGCAGTTCTCCAAGGTCAGTGCAGGTGTGTCTCTTCAGCAGCTCTGCCTTCACGGAGGCCAGTGCGTCCCTGTCTGCTGTGGCAAAGACCAGGTCGTCGACGTAAACAAGGATGTAGAACGGAGTCTGGCCAGCACGAACGAAGAGGGAAGGGTCTGCAGAAGACGGAAAGAACTGCAGGTCAGCAAGCGTAGCACGGAGAGTGTCGTGCCACTCACGGGGAGCCTGGCGCAGGCCGTAGACGGGGCGCCGCAGGAGCCACTGGGTCCCAGGAGGGAAGGTGCCAGTAAAGCCCGGAGGGCGACGTAGGTAGACCTGCTCGTGTAGGCTGCCCTGAAGGAAGGCAGTGGAGAAGTCGAGGGAGTGAAGCTCGTAGTCACGCTGAGCAGCTAGGTGTAACAGAACCCGAAGAGTAGTCATCTTCGGGGTCGGAGCGAAGGTCTGGAAGAAGTCCACCCCCTCGTGCTGACTGAAGCCTCTAGCCACGTAGCGCGCCTTGAAGACAGGCGGCTCTCCAGGAGGGCGCTTCACCTTGAAGAGCCAGCGGCCATCGACTACGTTCACCCCAGGCGGGGGAACTGCGTCGACGAAGGTGCCGGTGGATCTCCAAGATGCCATCTCCTGCTCCATGGCAGCTATCCACTGCGAGGCCCAGAGTCCCGAAGTCGCCTCAGCGTAAGTGCGAGGGGTCGGGATGTCGAAAGTGTCTGGGTCACCCTCAGGGACTAGCAGCATGGAACAGAGATGGGGAGCAGCCTCGGACAGGAAAGCAAGCTCAAACTGGCGGTCCTCCAGGACGTCCCTGCCAAGGGCAGGAGCACCCCCGACAGACGGAGGACAGGCAGGGTCAGAGACCAGAGCGGTGGTGTAGTCAAGGCGGCGGTTAGAGGCGAAGTCAACGACAGCAGCGACAAGGGCGTCAAGGCACGAGGCCGAAACAGACGGGTCGGTAACGAGAGAGGCAAGGACGCGAGGAACAAGAGGACGAGCGGCACGAAGGTAGTCAGACAGCGGGGGGGGTGCAACAACAAGGGAGGAAGGAGGAGGCGACGGCAGAAGGGGAGGACGAGACACGTGGGAACGAAGCAACATAGGGTGGGAGCGCAGGACAGGCGAGGCAGGACGAGCACGGGAGGGACGGTGAGACCAGACATGCGACGGAGGAGTCGGGTCAGGAGACAGCGGAGGGGACACTGGAGGGGAACGAGGGGGGAGACGAGCCGGGGACGAGTCCGGCGGAGGGAAAACAGGGCCGTAGACAGGAAGAGGAGGAGACGGTCGGGGAGGAACCGACGCAGGGTCGGGGGACGGCAGGCCGAGCAGGCGAAGGGCTGACACCGGCGGGGACTGCTGCTGCGGCGGCACAACGGCGACACCGGGACCGCTAGCTGCTCCTCGGCAACCCCCGACACTCTCCACACCAGCACCCCCAGAGGGACCACCCCCAGGGCTACCGGGACGGGCACCCCCAGAGGCAGCGAACGGGTGCTGCGACGGCAGCGGCGGCGGCGGCGGCGGCGGCGGCAACGACGGCTGCAGCGGCGGCAGAAGCGGTGGAGGAGGGGACTGGGGAGGGGACGCCAGGGGAGGGGCGGCTGACGAGGACTGCACAGGAGGGCCACCAGAGTCAGAAGACTCCTCAACCGGGTCCACCGACGGAGGGGGGGTGACGTGGGACACACCAGAGGGGGCGGGACGGGGAGGAGGAGGAGGAGGGGCAGGGACTATCGGGGAAGGAGGGACCAGGAACAGGGGGGGAGTAACCGGGGGACCACGGTGGGGGAAGCGACGGTAGTAGGAGACGGACTCGTCAAAAGTGACGTCACGAGAGTGAAAGAAGCGGTGAGACGGCGGGTGGTAAAAGTGCCAGTCGGACGCGTCAAGGGGAAAGCGGAGGAAGACGCAGGGAAGGGTGCAAGCAGTGAGCTTGTCCGTGCCGGAGGCACGAACGTGAGCAAGGCAGCCCCAGACGTGGAACGCAGACGCGTCACCAGGAGATCCAGTCCAAAGACGGGTCGGCGAAACCTGCGGCTGCTGAGGGTGCGGCCACAGGTTAAGCTGGTGAGAGGCGTAGCGCACAGCGAACGGCCACAGAAAATGGGGTGCACCGGCATGGATCATGGAGGTGCGAGCCACCTCCATGACCAAACCGATGCGTCGCTCAGCGACCCCATTCTGCTGTGGGGAGTCCGGTAGGGTGAACGTCTCGGTGATGCCCTCCGCACGACAAAAACGACCAAGGACACCTGAGGCAAACTCGCCACCACGGTCTGAGTGAAGACGCAGGACAGGGAGACCGCGGTGGACACGCGCAAAGACCAGCCAGGGGATGAGAGCTCTAGGCACGTCGGCCTTGCGCTCCAGGGGAAAGACTGTGGTGTAACGAGTGAAGTCGTCGACAAGCACAAGGAAGTAGCGCTCTCGACGCGGCCCAGGGACGGGGGCGGGGCCCCAGACGTCCAGGTGCAGGGTCTGCAGCGGCGCGGCGGTAGGGGGAAACGAGGAGGACTGAGGGGCACGGCGAAGCCGACCCTCGACACAAGGCGTGCAAGGTGGGGCTAGGGAGGAGGGAAACGCAGGGAGAGAACCTGGAAGACCAAGGACAAGACCGTGCTGGGACATGTGACGCAGACGCTGGAGCGCAGGGTGACCTAGGCGGTGGTGCCAAAGGAGGGTCGGGTGAGTGAGGGACCGACAGGAGCAGGCGGCAGCAACCTGGGTGAGCGCTCCAGCCGGGGGGGTCACGGTGTTCAGAGTGAACAGGCCGGACACCGGGTCCCGGGGGAACGTGGACAGGGGGGCACCAGTGGCGGCCTCGGTACAGACAGCATACCGCTCGTGACCAGGGAACGTAGTGGTGACGCCAAGGTCCTGGAGGCAGCCGACACCAACTAAGTTCCTGGAGAACGAGGGGATATGCAGACCTGTAAGAGAGCCCGAAGGAACCGCCGGACAGGGAAGGGTGGTGGAACTGCGGGCGACTACCGGACCACCAGAGGGGTCAGCGAGAGAAACGGCAGCAGGGACAGGAAGCGGCGTCAGGGTGGTGGAGTCGCGGAAGAAACACCGAGAAGCGCCAGAGTCCAAGGTGAAGGAAAGCGAAGCAGAGGCGTCTGGCGACGGAACGACGGCGGAAGCACCAAGACTACACAAAGCAGGGGATCCTACGCCTGAAGCAGCAGGGGAGGCTAAGCTAGGCACACCTACACTAGGCAACAGTGAGTAATAAGCGGGAAGCACACTAGAGTCATCAGCATACATCACATGCAGAGCAGCAACAATGGCATCCATGTCCATATCAAAGATCTGAATCTTACGACTAAGCAAACTGTGCCAGTCCGGGAGGTCTGGCGACGGGCCGAAGCGCTTACGAAAGAGGTCGTCCAGGCGACGAAAACAGCGGGGAGTGGAGTGGCCGATCTTACCGCAAACGAAGCCGCGGCGAGGACCGGTCTGGATCTGGTACTGACAGCGCCCGCCGCCAGAGCTACCACTCGACACACCACCACGCGCCCGGCCACCGCCAGCGCCGGGCCACCCGGGCGGGAGGACACTCGTCTGCCGCGTCTGCGACGGCTGCGGCGGCTGCTGCGACGGCTGCGACTGCGGCGACTGCTGCGGCTGCTGCAACTGCAGGGGCGGCGGCTCAGCTGGACTGGGCAGGGTCCCCTCGTCCGCTCCAGCACCAGACGACCCGACCCCACCACTACCCC